GGGAAGGGAAGGGAAGGGAAGGGAAGGGAAGGGAAGGGAAGGGAAGGGGTCAGGCCTTGTAGGAAGGCTCAGAAAAGGTTTTGTGTAGCATTCATAAAACATTAGTGAAAGCAACTTTAATTCTGGGTGAAACCCTTGAGATTCACAAACATGGATTTCTGCATCCCTGAAGGTAACTCCTACTCTTTTTTGTACTCTATTTATTTGAGTTCTTTAAAGAACATAAGAAAGCAGAGGTGAATTCACTATTAGTACTGTGATTCTGTCTTTGAAATTCTTCAGGTAATTATGGTTTTTTCAATATTTTTATTAAAATGCAGATTTATTTATAAAATCTGCCACAATTTTCTTCCAGTTGGCTGGTTTGCTGAAGGTTAAATGCTGTGCTCATTGCTGTGCTGAGGTGGTTTAGCAACAGAAAAAATAATTTCTCCTCTGCCTCTCTTCAGTGCTCTTTAGAAGCATTTTCTGGACAGTGTAAAAATGGCATCTTTGCCTAAAGCAAATGTCTTTTTGACACTGTTCCCCAAATTAGCACATATCCAGGCATTGTGCACCTTTTGATCTGTCACAATAAGCTGCTGGACTTGTGCACTACCTGCCTTGTCCCCAGCACTCACAGCCAAAGCTCCCCTGAGAGATCTGTCATGTAAAAGGAAATGACGGGCGAGTGGTGCAGCATTCCCTCCTGACAGCATTGTGCTAATTGCCAAACCCAGAGTGCAGTGGGATCTACCCTGAGGAGCTGTAGGATAAAAGTCCCACCTTCTGTATTCTATGAGTTCTCATTGCTGTGTTATTGATATCCAAATGTGCTTTTCAGGGAACACAACAATCAGATGCACGGTGGATATGAACACCAAAAATGCATGCAAAGTGTAAGTTGAGGGTTGGTTTCTTTTTACTGACTTGCATGTGGACATTATTTTTTTATGCATATTAAATCAATGAGTAGACTTTGAACTGAATGTAAAAAAGATTTCCTGAAAGAGGCCAGGGTGTCCTAGCCTACTGATCTTGGACATCTTACTTCCTGCCCTATAAAGAATAGAGACAGAAAAAGAAAGCCATATTATATGTAAACCATGGCCTCTGTCAGAGGGGTATCTCATGGTAAATTAAGAAAGATCAGAAGTGTAGTTAAATGTGCAGAGGCTCATGATAATCTCAGAAACACTGGCTGCTGTTAACTGTTTTATAGGAGCCCTTCTGCACCTGATATCCTTCCATCCAGTGAGAGACAGAAAGACGAAGGGAGTAGGATGGGAGATTTCCAATGCCAGTTTTGCACATATATGCAGTACCAGCATGCTGCTTTCTTCCCCTGTCCTGGACTCCAACCATAGCCCCACTTTTCCTGCTGTGCTCTTGTCCGGATAAGCTGCAGGTGCAGACAGGCCTGGCTGGGGACAACCTCTTCAGGTAGGAAGGTGCAGCTGCACACACCTTAGTGCCTCAAAGATTTACAGCAACTCCCCCATTTATTTCCATTTGTTTTTTATAAAGTATGAGACAGACTCCAGCAGAGACAGCCAGAAACCTAAGATGAACTAAAAGAGACTTTCAGAACAAATTTCAGGTGACAGACAGATGGTCAGGTACAGCAATAAGCGGTACAGGACAAGTACCAAAGAGTCAGGTTGCCTTTATTAGCGGCTCAACAAAGAGGGAAGTTCTACCTCTGTGCCAAGGACAAGGAACATAATTAACTAGCAGGACTGCTTAGCTCAGTGCTGTAGCAAATCCACAGTGGGTTTTAGGTCCGTGCTGAATCCGTGGGAGGGATGGCCTCCAAGCTGGCTGGGATGAGCTACAGCAAATGGAGCAGCAATGCCAGGGAAGGGGATGTTGTTAAGTGTACAAGAGGGAGCTCTCACAGCAGCAAGACATTACAGGAAAAAAAGAACAGCTCATCCCTCAGACACTGCAGTGAGCAAACACACACCAGTGTGGGGCTGCCTGCCACTGTGAACCCTTCTCTTTCCTGCTGCTCACTCCATGCTTTGGGATTTTCCTCCTTTCCAGCCTCGGTGTGAGAAGCACACATCATCTGCTGATGAGCCTCTGACAGCAGCAGCAGCAAAGAGAGTCTGGCAGCAGAACAGCCCCTGGGACCCAGCGAGCCTGAGAGGAGACGTAGGCTGGTCAGTGAGAAAAACATGCAGCCATGAGAAGGAGATAGCAAAGGATGTTTGTCCTGGTTTCAATCAGGTAGAGCTAATTCATTCTCAGTAGCTGTCACAGTGCTGTGTTTTGGATTCGGGATGAGAACGGTGTTGATGACACACTGACGTTTCGGTTTTTTGCTGAGTTGTGTTTATCCTAAGTCAAGGACTTTGTTCTTGTCTCCTGCTCTGCCAGTGAGGTGGTTCAGGAAGGAAACTGGGAGGAAGCACAGCTGGGCCAGGTGATCCAAACTCGGTGAAAGGATATTCCACACCATGGAATAACAATCTGGGTTGGGGAAGGCTGGTCTGGCATCTGTCAGCGTGTCGTGGGCAAATGCATTGTACATCACTTGTTTTTCTGTTTTTATTATCATTATTATTATTATTATAATTTACCAATATTACTGTATTTTACTTTATTTTCAATTATTAAACTGTTCTTTTTTCAACATACAAGTTTTACTTTGATTCTCCTCCCCATTCCACCAGGGTGGGAGGGGGAGGGAGGGGGGCCTGAGCGAGTGGCTGCATAGTGCTTAATTTCCAGCTTGGTTTAAACAATGATTACATAATGATGCATTATGTAATATACATTAAATGATTACATACGCAATATACATTAAATGATTACATAACGATGCTCCTACTCGTTCTGTTTTCAGAGGAAATACACGATTGCAAAATGAAGTATAACAGCTGACAAAATAAAATCCCTCTCCTGCCTGAAAACGCTGTCCTTACTACAACTGTAACCTCCCTGTTCATGACTGAAGAGACCTTTTCTTTTCAAAAAGATTTAACAAAACTTGTCACAAACCCAGTCTCGCTGTTTTCTCTCATATAAGGCAATCACTTGGGAACAGAATGCAAATAGTGACACATGCTTCAATAAGTTATGTGTTAAACTCAAAGGACTCCACAATACCTGAGGAGTCTCTGAGAACTTGGTGACAGAAAATCAGATAAACAAGAGGGAGCATATACCAAGAGAAACTACCTTTTTTCAGATAGAAGCTATTAAATCAGAAAAAACTGGCACAAGAAGGTCAAGGGTAGGAGGAACTGATACTACTTTCAGTGAGCTTTCTGTAAAACTTACATTAAAATTACAATTATCTATGTAGGGTTTTATGAGAGGACTAAAACCAGGACTTCTGAGAGCTCTAAGAAATAGCAGAAGTATTGCAGTTTTGCAATAGATTTACAGGCAAAATGTTATGATGATACATTTATGGATGCACAGGTGAAGAAACCAGGTAATACTTAAAATAAAAACCAGAATGAATGAGCATCTACAAATTCAAGTTAAGAATTAAGATGAATGGGATTTGATAAAACATAAGAGGCCTTATAGCCAGGAGACAATATTAAACTCATAGGTACTCTTACAAGGTAGAACCTAAGGCAAACCTCAAGTTAACCAGCTTCTGACAAGCTCAGGACCTCCAAACCATCATGGATGCTATGCATTAAAGGGTGTCTTCAAGGATTGTTTCCATAGATCATGGTCAGAATCTCCATGTTACTTGTGAGCTAATTGATTTTTCTTATCAAATATTAATCCTCTTCCTTGAAGCCGTAATGGAAGAAGAGCTCTCCTCTTTCTCTGTCTGGCTTGGTCTGGTTCTTGCCCCATAATTGCTGTGAGCAGATGAGGCTTCTGACACATAGCTTTTTCTTAATTTTTTTGTCTCTCCCTTCTCTCTTTCCAATGCAAGCCCACACCTCGTCTACTCCATAAACACTTGTTACTGGATAGGGGATGGAAATAACAATACCCTTCAGGTGCAGTGCTCCCAAATGATTTCTCGGATCATAGGTTTTTATTCAGTCATGTCTATGAGTTCTGATTCTCTCCTAGGAAGCTCTCACAACAGCACAGACACCAGAGCTGCTGACATGCAGATTCAGGAGCAAGTATTTCGCCTGGCCATGCTCTGAAAGTTATCTTTAATGGATGAGACACCTAAAGTATTTTTATGCCAGGCCCTTTCCTCCCTAAAGAAGGCCTAAAGGTTCTTCTAGACACGTGGTAGCTTGAGTCTGGACAGACACGCATGCCACTATTACAATCTCTCATGAGTATCTGACCTCCCCATCACTGGTCCTGTATCCTCATTCTCAAATCAAACTCACTCCAAGTCCACGCTCCAGGTCACTTATGAGCTGGTGCTAAAAAGGGGGGAAAAAGAGTAAAATTCAAAAAGTGAATGAATCATGACACATCAAATTCACACAGCCTATTAGCCAAAGATTGAAAGGAGGGAGAAATATGTCATAAATGTAGAAAATATATATAATCTATTTTCACATATATAACATGGAATATTATACAATATATATAATGATAGATATTCCCATATATGTACGCATATATATACAGAAAAAAAATACAGGGAAAACAAAGCACTTCTGAAGGAAAAAATTGAAAGGGTGTGTCCAGACTCAATATGCAAATGACTCCAGTATCAACAAGCCATTATTTACATTGCAGAATGCTGATATGTATTGTTCCTTTCTATCCCTTTGACACCACAGTGAGTTTTGTCCAGCATATTAGTATTTTTATAAGCACTGTGATTGCAACAAAGGCTCCTGAAGTGAACAAAAACATCACCAGTGGCACAAACACGGCTTAGAAGTGCTACAAAGCTTGGTACAGAATGGGGATCTACTGCTGCTGTCCCCAGTAGTGTTGGGACATATCCCCACCTCAGACCTGCAGATCACTAGCAAAGCTCTAACACTAGTTTTCAAATCAAATCAATCACACACACAGTATACATGTTATGAATATATATATACAGATCTTATATATATATATATATATATATATACAGATTATACAAATCTTATATATACATACAATATATATATATATATATATATACAGACATAAACGTCTATATAAATGTTATTATTATCCAGACACTTTCATTTCTGCTAAATGTTGTTATAAAACATTCTTGTTTGGCCAAAAGAATTCCTTTCAAGAGTTGGTTCTTAGTGTACTGCGTTTAGCTGGAAAAGAGTTTGCTTTGTGCACAGGAGCTGAAACAGTGCTGTGCTCATGCTGGTGAGAACAGTGCTGATAACACAGCCACACTTTAGCTAACTAGAGAGAAGTCCCATGCCATGTGGCATCATGTTCAGCAAGGAAGCTGGGGAAGGGTTTCTTCTAAATTTTTTCCCATTGCCTGGGACTAGGTGAACATTGGTCCATGGATGGTCAGTGATTGCTTGTGCCTCACTTGGTGGGGTTTTTCCCTTAGTTTTTTTTTTCCTTTTCACTTATTTGTCTGTCTGTATCTCAACCCACAAGGTTTTGTGGGTTTTTTCCTCACTTTTGCCCTTCTGATTCTCTCCTCCATCCCACTGGGAGAAGTGAGTGAGCAGATAGGTGGGGACTCACCTGCTCACAGGGTCTGCCCAGTACAGCCAGGTAAGAACATGTGTTGGCAGCATGAAGCATCCTCTGCACATAAGGCAGTAATGGTAATAGTTCATTCAGCATTCTCCACAGCTGTGGCCCAAGGAAGGGAGAAATCACAGGGTAGGGCAAAATAAAAACTTCTACATGGCAGCATAAATGATGTCTAAAGTAACAGCATTTATAAAAATGGACTTTGGGATACCTTGTAGGCTGACTCTGTTCACAAGTCAGGTGCTCCTAAAATTACTCCTAAAATATCCTTATATTTCAGTACACATTGTTGAAAAACTTTTTTTAACATCACATTCCCGGCTGTGCGTGAACCTTTGACCCACTGACATAGGAGCGTGAAGAAACTCCTGGAGACACAAATCCTGCTTCTGGCTTTGAAGGATGGACAGCCATGCCACAGTCTTGCTCACATACTTCGCAAGCTCTATTTAAGACCAGGTAAGGCACTGGCCTGCACAGGTGCCATTGTGGGGTTTGCTCTTTGTGCCTCATTTGGGTAGAAAATATTCTTCAAATGAGAAGAGAAATATACTTACCCTTTTGATCATACAGGAGCTTTGGAGGAGGGGTTGTGGATTTTTTCCTTTTCATTGCCAGGGCCCTGCTCTTGTGATAAAGAGGAACCTCTAATTAACACTTGGCTGGTTCCTATTGATCCATTTGTAACAATGCTCCCTGCTCCCTTCCTGTGTCTGCTCTTCCCTCTGTCTTATATGAGACACTTCCACCAACACACCTTTAGAGATACCTTTTTCCCCCAGAACATCATATTTTGGACTCCTGATCAGTTTATGATGTGTTACAAACCAATTTCTTCCATGCTGCTGCTCCCACACTGTATTTACCATCTGATTCCTTCCTTTCACATGGACAGTCTCATTTCCCATTACAAAATTCCCTCTTTCTGACTGACGTCAATTCCTCCGGTATATCCCACTGTTTCCAATTGGCTCCTTTCCCATCAGAGTCCTCCCAACCCCATCCCGCCTTGGCTCAGCCCTTGGGGAGGCCTGGGCAGCAGCAGCTCCAGTCCCAGTACCGGCCCTACTCCCAGCCCTAGTCCTAGTCCCAGCCCCGGCCCCAGCCCTGGCTCCAGTCCTTAGTCCCAGTCCCCACTCCCAGCCCCATTCCCATTCCCATTGCCAGACCCAGTCCCCAGTCCTCAGTCCCCAGTCCCAGCCTCATTCCCATTCCCATTCCCAGCCCCAGGCCCCAGTCCCCACTTCCAGCCTCATTCCCATTCCCAGCCCCAGTCCCCAGCCCTCAGTCCCAGTCCCCAGTCCCAATCCCAGCCCTCAGCCCCAGCCCCAGTTCAGTCCAATCCCAGGCCCCAGTCCCAGTCCCCAGCTCCAGTTCCAGCCCAATCCGCATTCCAGCCTAGTCCTAGTCCAGCCCCAGCTCCAGTCCTTAGTCCAGACCCACTCCCGGCCCAGGCTCATTCCCATTCCCAGTCCCTGTCCCAGTCCCAGTCCCAGCCCCAGCCCCAGCCCCAGTGCCAGTGCCAGTCCCATTCCCATTCCCGGCCCCATTCCCATTCTTGGCCCCATTCCCGGCCCCATTCCCATTGCTGGCCCCATTCCCAGCCTCAGTCCCAGTCCCCAGTCCCGGCCCCATCCCCAGTCCCAGTCCCGGCCCCATCCTCAGACCCAGTTCTGGCCCCAGGCCCATTCCTATTCCCGGTCCCCATTCCCAGCCCCAGTTCTCATTCCTGGCCCCATTCCCAGTTCCCATTCCCAGCCCCAGTTCCCATTTCCAGTCCCATTCCCAGTCCCCATTCTTATTCCCGGCCCCATTACCATTCCCGATTCCCTTTCCCATTCTCCATTACCAGTCTCCATTCCTGGCCCCATCCCCAGTCTCCATTCCTGGCCCCATCCCCAGTCCCATTCCCAGCCCCACTCCCCATTCCCATTCTCAGTCCCATTCCCAACCCCAGCCCCCATTCCCACTCCCACTCGCTCTCGTCCCCACCCACGTTCCGTCCCCGGGCGGGCGTGCCCGAGGGTGCGGAGCGATGGCGGTGCCGGCGGAGCGCGGTGAGCGCGGCGGGGCCCGGCTGGCCCGGCAGGAGGCCGGGAGAGGCCGTCGAGGCTGGCCCGGGAGGCGCGGCTGGGCTCGTCCCCCGCAGGCAGGGCTGGCGGGGCTTCGGCGGGAGGCGGGCCGGGCCGGGCCGGGCCGCGCGGGTGAGGAGGGTCCGCTCTGCCCCAGTCTCTTACAGGTTCGCCGTGCTGCTCTTCAACTGCCTCCTCACCTTCGGCTCCTACTTCTGCTTCGACATGCCCAGCGTCCTGCAGCAGCAGCTCCAGGGGGTGAGTGTCGAGGGGCGCTGAGCCTCCGCCCGGGCCGTGCAGACAGGGGCACAGCCGGCAACACAGGCCGCGGGCGCCGCTGGAGGTTCCAGACCTTTTCCTGTCGGTGCAGGGGTCTTTGCCTCGCGGTCTCACCTCCCAGGTGCTGCGGGTGGGAGGTTGTCACTGGCACACCAGGTGTTCGAGCTCCCTCTGCTGCCGGGAGAACTGGGAATGTGGCACTCGCCCGTGCTCCGCGGGGTCGGCTCCTCTTCACCGCCCTGAGGGAGTCCAGTCGGGACTTCACACCACCCCGCACGCAGGAGATCCACAGCACTGACCGTCAGTACCTGCACGGGGGTGGGAGACACGAGTGCTGGAGGTGATTCATTTGCAGCAAAACTTCACTGTGCAGTGTGACCACAGTGACACGCAGTGCTCCGCGAGGCCTGTCTGGCAGCCTGATGTGCTTGGGTTTTCTTATCTGGTGGCTTTGCTAACACTGCTTCAATTTCTTCCCCTTCTGTTTCTTTCCCATTCATTTCACTCATAGCCTGTACAAAAGTTAGAAGCAAAATATCTAAAAATTTGTTTCCATTCAAAAGGAAACTAAAACTTACCAAAAGAAACCAGAGGGTTCGGCTGCTCCAGGCTGAGCTGGGCCTTCTTTTGCTTTGCTTCTGCGCTGCATGAATAGAATGTTACACATCACTCTTTCAAGTCCCACGAGTTCTCAGTACTCACTTTTGCCAGTGAGAAGGAAAGTCTTTCTGGGTCTCCAGGTACAAACCTTCTGACACTGCAGGCATCACATCAGTATTTGCTGGCCCAAGGACAGGAGCTGAGCAGGGGGGTCACAGGAGGACTGACATGTAAAAAGCAGTCATATTCTCAAATGCTAGAAACTTCTGTTGTTCAGCGTTCACACTACCATCCCAGCTGATTGCTGGGAGTTCTCCAGAGATGCTGGAGAGCCAAAGCTGAATTTCTGAACCCCTGACAAATTCTTACTGGACTCATTTACCTGTCGTGATTGCATTGGTTCTGTGTCTCCTGAGAGATGATTTGCCTCTCATGTGCTGTCTGCTGGCAGGTCAGTGTGTGTAGGGGCAGAGTCACTGTCCTATTCTCTATCTGCCTCAGTAGCCAGGGCAGGAATAGCCAGAGCTTGCATGTAACTTTTTTTTAACATAAATGCAGTAAGTCCCTAACATTCAGACAGTGAACTCCAGGCTAAATTGGATGCAGCTTGTCATTGCAAATGTGAGAAAAATCTCCTCCCAAAATAGGTCAGTAATTATTCCTCAATCTTCCACAACTTCTGTAGGTCTGTGAGGGAGGAGTCAGTTACTTATTTATGGAATACAGGAAAGGCTATGTCATGTTTTGTTACCCAGGTAACAAAACACTTTGTAGGGTAGTGAAACCAAGCCATATTTTTCTGTGTTAATACTGTGCAGAGTTTTTAATCTGTTGACACTCTTGTCATATTTTTACTCTAGTGAATTTAGCCTCTCCCTACCTCAGCAGTGGTACTGTGGTGGTGGGAGCAGCTGAGACGAGTGCTTGCAGTGAAACACTTTGTTCTAGAGAGCTGCTTCTCTGCAGCCTCAAACATTTCTGCTGCAGCACATCTGAGGAGTTGTGAATATAAAAATCTCGTGGTGAAAATCACACTTCTCTTGTGCTTATTCAAGGTGCTAAGCTCTTGCCTGCTGGTGTGAAGACCCAGCATCCATGTCCCAGTGCAGGTGAATTTTCAGTAGCTGGAAGATCTTAGGGGGGGTTTCCTGATCATACAGTGTTGAGGAGATGTTGCTTTTTAGTAGCAAAACCAAGGTTTTTAAATCATGCCAGGACTACCAGTTTCTTACTCTACTGGAAATGCTTTAGAGCTGAGAATTGATACAGACTGAGTTGCATATTTACATGCTGCTTGAGACTTTATAGTATGGAATAAAGAGTCAGATGAAGCTGAACTATAACCAAGAAGCTGAGGGATCAGATAAAGCTGGTGGTACAGGCTCCTGGCTTTTCTTTTGGTTGGAAATGTGTATAAAAATGCTGAGCCCCTGCTGCTACTGCCACAGGAAGGGAAACAGAAGCTGTGCCATGCCATGCCAATGGCCAGTCATTTCCCATTTGAGAAGGGCTGGCTTTCTAGGAGAAGGCACAAGTCCCCTAATGGCTGCTTGTGGAAGTGGGAGTTGAGCAGGATAAATAGAAATCTAGATGGGAAGAACATCATTTTTAAAGGCACGTTTGAGTTTTTGTCTGTGTCTGCACCTAACAAAGGCTCTGTGACTTGTACAGAACTTGACCTGCCCCAATGGAACCCACCATAACAGCACTGGGCACAATGGCACGCTGGAGTGTGTGGAAGGCTTGGGAATGACCCCAGCTCAGTACAACCTGCTCTACGCGATCTACGCCTGGACGTGAGTCACTTTGCTCTTGCTTTTGGGGGTGGGTGGTTTGGTAGTTGCTCCCAAGCACCAAGACAATGCATTTCTGTTCTGGTTTTCTCCTAGAAATGCAGTAGTGGTTATTCTGGCTGGATTCCTGATTGATAAACTGGGAAATCACTGTAAGTTCTGAGGTTCCATTAATTTATTCTTGTTCTGAAGTGGGATTTCAGGCTGTACTTTCAGTGCAAAGGGATGATTAAAAGTCCCAGTGCCGTAACATCCCAGAGGGATGGAGGGCAGGGTGCGATGGTTAGCTGAGCAGCTCTGTGAAGCAACTGAGACATTTTCCTCCTTTGACCACTGACTTACCTGAATTGACACAGCAGGGCAGTAAACACACTTTTCTCTGACACACACATGACAGGGACTAGTGTTATCTGGTTTTGATAGGACAAACTGATAAAACATGGTTCTGTTCCCTGCTCTGGCATTTGTTCTGGCATGTGCCATAAGCTCAGACCCAGCAATCCCAGCACATGCAGTCCTGCTGTCTCTGTATCCTGGAGGTAAACATCTTAGAGAGGACAGGGGGGCACAGAGAAGGACATCATGTCCTCTAGGACATATAATGGAGCTCAGAACAGGGACAAGGACTCTACACATTTCAGAGTCCTCTGTCTGAGTTACTCTGCCCCTCTAACCTCCCACCATGATAATGTCATCATTACTGTGAGGATTCCCAAGTAATTTTATAAAGAGACCAGTCTTACAAAATTGAAAACTGCGAGTAAGCTGATGGAAGCCCACACGTTTAGTGGTGTGTTTTGAGGTTTTTCTTTTGCTTCTTGACACAGAATACTTTTGTTGTGATCTCAGCATGTCTGTTGAGGTTTGTGTATTTTTTTCTGTTTCTCCCTAGTTGGTGTCTTTGTTTTCTCTTTTCTCACTGTGCTGGGATCATCCCTCTTTGCTCTGGGCTCACACTTTAAGGGCTCACCATACCTCCTTCCAATGATGCTAACAGGAAGACTGCTCTTTGGCTCTGGGAACGGGTCACTTACTAGTAAGGAATTCACATTTGCATATTTTCATATTTACATCTCATCAAATGGTCATGATACATTTTTATTTTGCTTCCTAGACCCTTGTCCTACCAGTGAGCTTCACCTCTGCACAAGGGCCCTGTGTTGCTGGCAGAACACAGCTCCTGCTGCATGGATTTAATGTGTGCCAAAATGTTTAAAAGTCTTCCCCTCTAACAACTTAGTCCTTCTCTCAAGGTGGGGACTGACATGTGATTTCTCTGCCTTTGAGGTTATTTTTGCTTGCTTTATGTGAGGGATAAGTTCACCTCCCACGTCTCAGCATGATTTAGTAC